ATTTTATTGTTGTGATGTTGTTCTTCCATTGTCCCTCAGTTGTTATAGAGTGTGAATATTACTCATTCTGGATTATCTTCCAAGGATGAGTTTATCACTCCTTATCTGCACTTTTTATCCATGTTATGGATTTCTCTCGGATCTCTTCGAGCTGTAATAAGCTTCATGGTTGTATCTTTCCTATGTGTGCGCTTCTTAGAAAATGATTTATATTTCGTACATGACACAAAAAATCTCAGGATTGGCATGCTCGCATGAAATTAGGTTAGTAGGATGATATAATGATCAAGAAAAAAAAAAAAACTACATGATATAAACCGAACTAATATATTGAATCACAAACCTCAATAGAGTCCAGTTCAATTTTCCTCGCAATGTTTTCGTGCTGTAATAAGCTGGAGACAATGCAATAGATAACCTAAGACACACTAATGAAGCTAGAGAAATAGTTTTCTTTCTTAAATTACAACTTAACAGGGGCCATGTCTGATCTCCAAAACAGAATGCTCACCCCAGAACCATAGAATTTAGAACAGGAACCGACTTTAATGTGCTCAAGTCATGTTTCATTTCATCATGCACCTAGTAAGATGCTTGATAGGCTCATCGTTGCTGTGTGAATTGGACTCCGTTGATTTAGTGTTTGATCTTATTTCAGAATTGCATAGTCCATCCTATTTTCCCATTAATATATCCAAAAGTATTGCCGGCATAATCTTGTTTTGGATAGAAAGGCACCGCCTCAGTCCTAAAATCGTTACTCATAATTGGCTCTGGCAGAGGCTTGATGGTTGATCTATTGGAAGTGAAAGGAGTTTCTTCTTGATTATTAGCACATTGATGGACTCGATATAATCGTATCAGTCTCAGTTAGACCCTAACTTGGTCCATTCCTATTGATGGTTGTATCTTTTTCTTATGTGTGCTTCTTAGAAAATAGAAGAGTACTCTCCTGTATTTCATACATTTAACATGCTGGGTTTGCCCGGCATGGTGTATTGCGAAACTATTCCACATTCATTGAGAAAAATAGCGAAGGGTCCCGGAAGTTGTTCTCCCAATCCTTCATACTTTCCGTAATATTCATCACCACGGTCAGATATGACAGCCTTTATTTTCTTTCCAAGTTGAAGGAGGATCACCTAGTTCAATTGATGTAAGTCTTAGTGTTTTGAAGGAAAATCAGTTGTACATCAACCTGAAGAAGTGCACTTTATGTACACATAAGCTATTGTTTCTATGTTTTGTGGTTGGTGAAAATGGTCTACAAGTAGATGAAGAGAAGACGAGCAATTCGAGATTGGCTAAATTTGAACTTCATGATCTTGTTTGATTATAGATAAATACTACTTTTAGTTTTGACGACTCGAAGATTGTTCTCTTTCTTTTCGAGTCAATAGGTGTTTCAGTAGCTATGACACACTGTAGATGGTGGTCGGGGAATTTTAGATTGTTGTCCTTTATTTTTCCCTCTTTGTTGAAAGATAATAACACTTGTGCAGAATCTAGGAAGAGTTCTTTGTCTCATGGTTTATATAGTTCTTTTTTTTGCTAATATTTTCCATTTTTCATCCTTTACCTGAGTTTTTTTGATATTCATAAGTGGGGAAATTGATAGCTTTAGGCTTTGAGTTCTGATACTAGCTTCTAATTGATTGTTGTTTATAGGAAAATGCTTCTAATTATACTCTTATTATTTTTATAATATGCAGGGAGTTAAATTATTTTTGGGATAGTTTTGTTGGTCACAGAAATAAATTCAGATATGGATCCAATATTTTGTAATATTTTGTTGGTCAATTGTGATTGCTATATAACTTTTTGAGTAGGGTGACGATGTTAGCATTATTTAATGATGTTAACTTTTTTAGTAGGTTAATGATGTTAGCATATTGTACTGAATCATATTCACTATTTTTGTTTATTTGAACTATGTAAAATCTGATTACATATGACTAATTTCCAAGCATTTTGTTTTGTAATTATTTTTGGTTTGTTGGAAATCAANTGACTAATTTCCAAGCATTTTGTTTTGTAATTATTATTAGGTTTGTTGGAAATCAAATAAATTAATTATGCAAAATTCATAAAAAAAAAAATTTGTAAAATGGCCTACATCAACGTTTAAAAAATGTTGCCAAAAGTTCTTTGACAACGTTTTCTAAATGTTACCGAATGTTGCCAAAGAACCTACGACAACGTTTATAAAACGTTGCCAAAAGTTCTTTGGCAACATTTAGAAAGAACTTTTGGCAACGTTTTATATTAGAAAGAACTTTTGGTAACGTTTTATAAACGTTGCCATATCTCTCTACTCTACGACAACATCTCAATTTGCAACATACGTCCAAACGTTGCAAAAGGTTTTCGACAATATTTTTTCACCATTGCAAAAGGCCTTTTTCGTTTAGTGCCCCTTGTTATTCCATTTTTTGTGTAACAATTAAAGTGAAAATTTGAAATTATTTATGTTGGTTAATGTTCCTAATTTAATTGAAAGTCTCTCTCGATAGCGATCAAATATATTCCCCTCATGTGACCTTTCTATCTCTTGATGAAAGATGCAAATATGATAAATGCATTAACAAGTATTAGAACACATATTGAAGTCATATAAAGTATAGAAGTATATCTCTATTATCTATCAAACCTTACAATGTTTATTATAATGTGCTTAAATCATATTGTCTCTCTCGATAACAATGAAATCCACTAACAATTCAATTGGTGATCAAGCAATTGAAAAAGAACGATAAAAACGATAATAAACATCCACAAATCAAATTAAATTAAATTCAAAACAATTAATTAAAAACTAAAAATATCATAACGAGGGTTCATCTCATCCTAACAATGTATAAATTAGCCTAACATATTGAAATTATAAGAAATCATATTTAAGTGAAAGGACATCACCCGAATTTTTGATAAATTGAAAAGATGAAGATGAATAATGAAATCTTAAATCTCTTCAATAGTTTATTGATGAATCTCCACTTGAGCATTCTCTTCTTTACCCAAAAATCATATTTGAATCTTTACTTGATTGAATTCTTGTAAATCCCCTTCAATTATCTCACAAAAATTATGATCTCTCCTCTTTTGATGATAATAATTGATGAATATTAGAGTATAATATGTATATGAGAGGTCCCCTAATATGTATTCTGCTGTTAGATATTTGTAAAAGTCAAAAATTGACGAAAAATCACGTCCAAATTGACTTCCAAAAGAGTTCCAATCGAATAAGGAAAGTTACCTTCGCATATGGATTTTTTGTCTCTGCACAACAGTCAGTATTTCAGCCATATATTTATCTCCCGATATCCGATTGAAACGATTCAAAATGTGCTAGAAAGATAACTCGAATGGCGTTTACTATGCCAAAAATGGGTCTCAATTTTTGACTAAAAAACTGCAACATTACTTGTGCGATTGGACATTGAATATTGAATATTTGCAACTCATCTTTTGGTCCGAATCAATTATTGAATATTTGCAATTTGCTCCCCAAACTTAGGATTTTGCCCATTTTCACCAAGTTTCGCTTCTTTGTTTCAATTCCTCATCCAACCATTGAATTTTATCAATATAATATAAAATACAACAATTAAGAATATATTTTGTCAAAAAAATATCAAATATCGTTATTTTAGATCCCGAATAAGTGTATAAAATACACTTATCAAATACCCTCAAAACATTTGTTTGTCCTCAAACAAAATTATAACCTAAATAATAACAAACACACAAATATGCAAAACTATTTTGTTAGACAATCTAGCTTTTTATCTTAGTATTTGAAATTATAATACTAAATCTACAAACTGTTTCAAAATCACAATACCAAATCGAGAATATCCACTATTCCAATGCAAAACTGACGTGTGTGTGTGAAGAATTAAATAGATAATCATGAATTTAAAAGTTGCTTCAATTCCCGACTCTTTGTAGTCAAATATATCTTTCACCTCTCGTATGATTCACACACCCCAAAACTTGTTCTTTTTTCACCCTTTTCCCAATGTGTAATCTAAGGTTGAATTTTTCATTACTGTTATCACCATCTCTAGTTCAGGTGGACTCTACTAATTGTAGTAAATACATCAATAAACAAAGATTCTCCANAAACTAAGGTTGAATTTTCATTTATTTTTATTAATATCCTCACCCTCTTTAGTTCAGGTAGACTCTACTAAATATAAGTCAACACATCAATAAACAAGAATTCAACAATTATTTGATTGCTTCGACCTCTAAAACTATACTAGGCTAATAATCCCTCATCAAAAGTAAAGTTTTCTCAAATAAGTGTTTGGGGCTTAATCATGGCATTTGGTGCGTCTTCTGTTTCATGCACTTGTTTTTTTTTCAAGATTTCTTTTTTTGCACACTCTCTCCTTTAAACTTTCTATATGACCCATGCAACGAGCTTTTGACCGATGACTCCCAAATAAGATATTTTAGGGCACCAGCTTGTAAATACCCTAGCATGCTTAATAATTCGAGTCATAAATGCTACGAAGAGATGTCTTTTATATATTTTTCTACCCTAATTAGTGAAATGCCTTTCTAATCATACCGACCTTTAAATTAAGACTTTTACCCAATTTTATCCTATTAATCTAAGACATTCCAAACAAAAGTTTTCACACATGGAATCCTTGTCCACATTCGTATATTCCTACAACAGCAAAATCACCCCCAAACTGTGCTCAATTTGGTATAAAGATAAGTAATTTAGCCCCCGTTTGACACCCATTTTTTATCTCATTCTCATTCTCATTTTTCTACAGTTCTCATTTCTAACCACACATTCTCTAAATAAAATAATATTACACATAAACCCAAAAATTCTTCTTACTTTTTAACCACACATTCTTTACATCAATCACTATTCAAAAACTAATTCTTCAAAATAATTGGTGTCAAACGGGGGCTATATATTCATCAAGCTCAAGTAGAACTTGAATTATATAGCTCTATTTATAGAGAA